GGGCTCCCCAATGTGCCATCACAGTGGTATCAGAGGTGTGATGGACTGCACCCCGTGGATGGAGCATCCTGCAGTAAGTGACTAGGACGCAGTAGAAGGAAGGGGTCTTGCAAGAGCCAGGTGTGCTTGAGGCAAAGAGAAGCGAATCCAGTAAGCAGCGGGGCAGACGGCTTAACGGGAGTATGGCCATGGAGAAGCAGTGTCCCCCAGGATGGGCAGAGGTGCTCAAGGAGCCTGGCACACTGAGGGGTTCTTCCTGGGAGTCATGGGGTGCTGCAGCATCATCCGGTGAGTCTGCACCCCGGGGAACATCAGAAAGATGGCCTACAGCTGGGGGCAACCAGACAGCCCCCAGGAATGTTTCAGACTCACAGGCAGGAAAAAGGGCTGGAGTTCAGAGAGGTAGAGGTGCCCATCAGCTCACGCTCCGCCAGCAGTGGTTCATCCCGGGCAGGCTCTCCTTCGGTGGAGCTGCGATGGCTGCAGCTCAAATTGTGACTAAAGGAATTGGAGGACTGTAAGAAACAGCAGAAACATGAGCAGACCATGGCAGAATGGAGAAACCAAGAGGCCCCAGCTGCTGTAAGTGGAGAGCGGTCAGGGGGCCCAGGACTGCAGGTCAATTTGATAGGTTTGTGTAAGAACACAGGGGACTTGGACGGATTCCTTAACTGTTTTGAGCGAGTCTGCGAGCTGCACCCGGTCCCCCCAGCTGACTGGCTCCTGCAGCTCACCCCTTACTGGACCAGAAGGCCGCAGGGGTGCTCAGCCAGCTGGAGGGGTGAAGCTGGAGACTACAAATGGGTCAAACAAGCCCCGCTGCATAAGTTTGGGCTGACCCCTGAAACATATAGGAAGAAGTTCCAGGAGGCACAAAAGAGGCTGGAGGAGTCCTAAGTAGACCTGGCCTCCCACCTGATGCAATACTTCCACAAGTGGGTGTTCGGGGCTAGGGCTCAGACCGCAGAGGACCTGGTTAAGCTGATGGTCCTGGAACGTCTCTAGGAAATGTGCTCACCTGACTTGAGGCTGTGGCTGAAGGGCAGGAAGCCAGAGGACCCACACAACACGGGGAAGCTGCCTGATGAATTCATGGACAGTTGGTCCTTCCCAGAGAGAAAGGGAATCCCGGTGAGACTGGTTCCCAGCTCTGCAACTAAGGAAATCACCTACAGGATGAGTCCAGGAGGAGGGGGCAGCAATCCTCCCCTGAGAGGACCAGCCAGTACTTGGATGGAGCGGTAGGCCTAAGGGAACCCGGAGGTCCTGTCCTGCCATTGCTGTGAGCCAAGGGGCCACAAACAGGCTCAGTGCCCCAAAGCCTGGACAGTCTCCACAAGCCAAGATTTCCCAGGGTTAACTGGGTGAGGCTGGAGGAGGAGCAGGCTGTGCTGGGGCAGGGGTTGGCAGGCTGACCTCAGCTGAGGGGGGTAGGCTGCTCAGGCCAGCTTCTTGGGGAGACCTGACACTCCAGAGGTGGGCGTCTCCATGTACAGGGTGGGCATAGAGGGGACCCTGCAGAGCGAGTACCTTGTATCCCTGGAGATGGATGGCAAGAAGGTGATGGGCTTCTGGGACATGGTGATGAAGGTGACACTGGGCCAGCCCAATATAGTAGCCCCAGACCGCATGGTGACCAACACCCAGCTGACCCTGAGGGACATAGATGGGACCCCATTCAAGGTACCCGTATCCTGGGTGCATTTGGGGAGGGCCCCAAGGAAGTGGGAGAGCATGAGCACTTGTCTATAGGGGTGCTGATGGGAGTGACCTAAAGGAGTGGCCAGAAGGTCCCCACAGTGCCCTGGTAACCACCTGGAGCCAGAACCAGTGAGGGGTTTGTGGCTTTGACATGGGGGAGGGCACCCTGCAGGGGACACAGGCTCCCGACCCAGCAGGCATGGGGCTCAGCAGGGTTGGGACTCCGGACCCAGGCAGTGGAGGGGAACAGGTCCTTGTCCCTTCCCCAGTGGCTGAATTCCAGGCTGAGGTACAGGCAGATCCCTCCTTGCAGAAGCTGAGGGACCAGGCTGGCCTCTGCACACCTCAGCCCCTGGGGAGAGGCTTCCAGGAGAGATTCCTGTGGGAGACAGGATTCCTGTACCAGGAATGACTCCCCCAGGGAAAATGAGGTTATGGGGGGTTCAGAGGCAGCTAGTGGTTCCCCAAAAGTATTGCCCCAGGCTGCAGTACCTGGCCCATGACATCCCATTCTTGGGGAACCAGGGGATCTAGCACACAGGAGTGAGGCTGCTTCAAAACTTTTATTGGACGGGGATATTTGCATCTGTGCAGAAGTACTGCTGGTCTTGTGACTCCTGCCAGAGGACACAGAAAGTCCGAGATGGACAGGGGCCTGAGGGCAGATTTCTTCCTATCATAGAGGAGCCTTTCCAGAAGGGAACATTGAATATAGTGGGGCCCCTCGGCAAGCCGATGCAGACAGGGAAGAAATACATCTTGGTAGTGGTGGATTTTGCTACCCACTACCCTGAGGCAGTGGTTCTGCCCTGTATTGAGGCAGACATAGTGGCAGACACACTGCTGGCCATTTTCAGCAGGGTGGGGTTCCTCCAGGGCAGGAGTGGCCAACCTGTTCCAGATGAAGAGCCAAGATAACAGTGGAGACAGCGAAGATCTGGGGCAAAGTTGTTGAGCAAAAAAAAAAAGGCACAGAGCTGCAAGAAGCCACATATTACAATTACGATTACAGTTTTTGACTCAGTGGGACTTTTGGCAATCCTCATTTTCAAGAATCTTCTTCAAATCGAGCTCATATTCAATTGAGGCCACTCAAATTAATTCTTTCACATGTGTGTCAGTTAGACTAGCTTGATGCTTTGATTTCACTTGTTTCAACGTAGAAAAAACTGACTCACAGAGGTACATTGAGCCAAACATTTACAGTAGTCTGAGTGCAGCACATTTAATATTGGGGTATTTTTCCATTGGTACAGTTCTCCATAACTCATGTGTGCTTTCCTTAGCAAAGACTTCAATCTATCGTCTTCTGACAGTTCAGTCATCTCAATCTGAGAAGCTGCTTCATCTGTGACTAATGGGGATTTCAAACAGTCAGCCTCTACAGTGAAAGGGTCGACCAGGAAAGTTCTCTGTGGCCTTTTCAATTGTAGATCATGGAATCTTTCCATGAAACTATCCTGAAGTTTTTCGACCCATGATGAATACTTCACTTTTTTTCAAGGCTTCAGCTGCTTGTTGACCTGCATTTAACAAGGAGGGAAAATATGTTAGTTCCCCCCTTTGAGGTTGTGCCTTGAACAGCTTGGCTATGTCTACACTGGTACGATCTTGCACCAGAGCTATGCAAATGAGGCTAAGTGTGGAATATCACCAAACCTCATTTGCATATCTAATGAGCCGCCATTTTGCGGAAGAGGCTCTTGCACAAGAAGAAGCTGTCTACACTGCCCCTTCTTGCCCAAGAAAAACCCTCTTGCGCAATGCCATTATTCCTGAAAATAATCAGTGTAACAGCATTGTGCAAGAGGGCTTTTCTTGCGCAAAAAGGGGCAGCAAGTGCGGGGCCCAATTCGAACCACTTTGATGGGTTCCCTCCCCACACTGTGGACACCACTGAGGCGGGCCCAAGCTATGGGAGTGCCCTTGTCAACAGCCGATGCTTTACCCAGCGGGAAGCCCCAACTTCCCTAGGCCACAAGCTGAGAGACCCTGCTCAGTTCAGACTTGAAGGGGGGAGAGATGTGACATAGTGGGGGTGCTGTCAACTTGGTAACAGAGATGTTACAGACTGCTAGTGTAGAAGTCTCTGGTGTACATCCTATATCAGGATGGATCAGCAATCCTTCCTCGCTCTCTGTCCCTCGCAAAGCTGCATCTGGGATCAGGCACAAGATTGAAGACAAGATGAAGATGCCCTCATGGGTTTTTTAGATTCTTGGTGTCTCCCAAATTGGAGCTGATCACATGACCAAGTGACCTATCCATGTTTCACATGCCAGCAGCCATGAAGCATTGGCCAGTCTGCAGGCTTCCAGACACATTCCTCAGGCGTGTATTGGCCACTCAGAGAGCCACTATCCATGGAGCAGTGCTAGTTAGCCCAGTCATTCACTGAACAACCCTTCCTCACAACAGGCAGTCCAGCTCCATTGCTCCCTCTCAGACAGAGAATGTTCACAGTACAAAAACAGAGCCCATATTTGTAACTTCATATACAAACCTCATACAAGTACATGAATATCATACATAGAATCGGTAGAACATAAGCTTTCATTTGACACCTCACATGGCCCCCTTTGTACAGAATTTTTGGCACCCCCCCGATGCACCAGTGATCCATCTGTTCACTTTACAATCCAATAATGTGACACCCCCGCTTCAGATCCCCCACCATTCACTACTTTTCCCTCCAGCCTTATGCTTCCTGTGCTGCATTGCACTGCAAACACCAACTCTACTGCCTGGTCCCAGCGCTCTGCCCCTCCTACTCCCCACCCCCCTGCCACAGGGGCTGGGCTGCCCCTCACAGTCCCTGGGTCCTGTCCAGTCCCTGAGCCACACAGGAGCAGCCATGTTCCCTGTGGGCTTCAGTCCCATTGCAAACCGAGCCGGGGGCAGCCGGCCTAGCTCCGGGCAGCCTCACTCCCACACACCCACAGACTGTAGGGAGGTGGCGGCATCTCACTGTCTGCAGCCCCAGTGAGGGGGCAGGAGATGGCGCCGTTGGGAATGAGGGAAATCTGGGGAGTTTGCAGGTTTGTCGTGTTCTCCTGGGACAGATGCAGCCCCCAATTGGCCGGAGTGGGGATAACATGGCGGGAGCTGCAGCACTGGCAGCCCAAGAGTGAGGCCTGAGGTGGAAGAGGTGGCGCCACAAGGCAGCTCTGGGCATGTCCCAGTCTCCTGGCTCTGCGGGTGGATCCCGGCTGCCTGGCACCGGCTTTGCTGAGGGGTCGCTGGGAGGGCTCCCTGCTCACACTGACCCTGCTCTGTGTCTCTTTGAAGGTGCTGACGAGCTGAGGCTGGCGGATGGAGGCAGCCCCTGTGCCGGGAGAGTGGAGGTTAAACACCAGGACCAGTGGGGGACGGTCTGTGACGATGGCTGGGGCATGGAAGATGCTGGGGTGGTTTGCAGGCAGCTGGGATGTGGAGCTGCCATCAGCGCCCCTGGCAGAGCTCAGTTTGGACCAGGATCTGGACAAATTTGGATAGATAATGTTGCCTGTGATGGTACCGAGTCTGCTCTCTGGGACTGCGGGAACCGGGGATGGGGCAAGCATCACTGTGATCATGAAGAGGATGCTGGAGTGACGTGTTCAAGTAAGAACCAGCCCCCTCAGTCCTGAACGGCCAGTCCCCTGAGACCAAAGGGCTTGGACCCAGAGGGTGTCCTGGGCCTGTGACCTAGTGAGAAATAAACCAAAGCCAGAGCCAGTTCTGTCACTGTTGCTGATACTGAGCTGCAACTATCACTGCTCACCTCCCCGGGCACTGGCCATCCCCTGTGACTGGGAAGTGGTTTCATTGTCGCATTTACCACGATCCCAGCACCTCGTCCTTCTCTCTGAGTGGCTCCCGTTTTACGGTTCCTTTGCTGAATGTGAGCCAGTGACAGGGAGGGTCTGAGCCCACCTGTGGGACCTGCGGCCGGGGCGGGGGTTCAAATGGGAGGGATCTGTGACCCAGCCAGAAGCTTCCTGCTGGAAGTTTCCATGTGATGTGATTGTTCATTAGGTCACTAGCCGTGCCTGCCCCACAGGGTCCTGTGGCCGTGGTTGGCCCCTGCCATTGTGGAGGAAAGTACTTGGGAAACTCATTGTCAGGGGAAAAACTAAAGAAATCCCATTGAATTAGCAAACTTGCCTGTCTGCAAATAACGTGTCTGTCCCCTAGAGCCACTGGCTTCGGTTTAAAGCTTCTGTGTGATTTGTCTGTTGGGATTTCTAGAGATGCCAGCAGCAGTTTGGTACCAACTTGCATTGACTGTCAGTGAAACATTTGATACTCAGAGCCTACAGGCCAGATTTTTAGAAAGGATATTTAGTGACTAACACGGCGGGTAGTAGGGTGGTTATAGTGAGTCTGGTGCCAAACTCCCAGCAGATTTGGAAAATTGCACTAGGTACCTGCCTGCAGTTCTAGGCACCAAATGCTCTTTAAATGCTGGTCCTGAGTCTTTTTTTTTTTTTTTGAAAATGGCACCTGAGTCTCTAAGTCACTGTAGTTTAGAAAATATTACCTTTAGGCTAATATCCACATGCTTCCTAAGGAGACCCAGGAATGGGACGATCTTTCCAATTTGGCCAATATGAGAGTTAGCCCAAAGCATTCCCCAGACTGTGTGCAACTTTTCATTCTTAATGGGTCTGTACTTATTACATCCGAGGGTACTGAGGGAGTTGGCAAATGGCATTGAGGAGCCTTTGGCCATTATCTTTGAAAAGTCATGGAGATTGGGAGAGATCCTGGATGATTGGAAAAAGGCAAAAGTAGTGCCCATCTTCAGAAAAGGGAAGATGGATGATCCAGGGTACTACAGGCCAGTCAGTCTTACCTCGGTTCCTGGAAAAATCATGGAAGGGATACATAAAGAATCCATTTTGAGGCACTTGGAAGAGGGGAAAGTGATCAAGAATCATGGATTCACAAAGAGCAAGTTGTGCCTGACCAATCTGATTAGCTTCTATGATGAGGTAACTGGTTCTGTGGATGTGGGAAAGTCAGTGGATGTGATATACCTTGACTTTAGCAAGGCTTTTGATACGGTCTCCCACAATATTCTTGCCAGCAAGTTAAGGGAATGTGGATAAATGGACGGTAAGATGGATAGAAAGCTGGCAAGAAGGCCAGGCCCAGCGGGCAGTGATCAATGGCTCAAGTCAGGATGGCGGTTGGTTTCTAGCGGAATGCCCCAAGGTTCGGTTCTAGGACCTGTTTTGTTCTATATCTTTATTAATGACCTGGGTGAGGGGATGGATTGCACCCTCCGCAAGTTTGCAGATGACACTAAGCTAGGGGGAGAGGTAGATAGTGTCCAGAGTGATTTAGACAAGTTGGAGGATTGGGCCATAAGAAATCTGATGAGGTTCAACAAGGACAAGTGCAGAGTCCTGCACTTGGGATGGAAGAATCCCAAGCATTGTTACAGGCTGGGGACCAACCAGCTAAGTAGTGTTTCTGCAGAAAAGAACCTGAGGGTTACAGTGGATGAGAAGCTAGATATGAGTCAACAGGGTGCCCTTGTAGCCAAGAAGGCTAATGGCATATTAGGTTGCATTAGGAGGAGCATTGCCAGCAGATCCAGAGATGTCATTATTCCCCATTATTCGGTGAGGTGAGGCCACATCTGGAGTATTGCGACCAATTCTTGGACCCCCACTACAAAAAGGATGTGGACGCATTGGAGAGGGTCCAGTGGAGGGCAACCAAAATGATTAGGGGGCTGGAACATATTCGCTATGAGGAGAGACGGAGGGACTTGGGCCTGTTTAACCTGCAGAAGCGAAGAGTGAGGGGGGATTTGATAGCAGCCTTCAACTACCTGAAGGGAGGTTCCATTGAGGATGGAGAGAGGCTGTTCTCAGTAGTGACAGATGGCAGAACAAGGAGCAATGGTCTCAAGCTGTGGTGGGAGAGGTCAGGTTGGATATTAGGAAAAACTATTTCACTAGGAGGGTGATGAAGCACTGGAATGGGTTACCTAGGGAAGTAGTGGCGTCTCCATCCCTAGAGGTGTTTAAGTCTCGGCTTGACAAAGCCCTGGCTGGGGTGATTTAGTTGGGATTGGTCCTGCCTAGAGCAGGGGGCTGGACTTGATGGCTTTCTGAGGTCTCTTCCAGCTCTATGGTTCTATTATTCTATGATTGTATGCTTTAGACCAGTTACTAATAGACGTTACAAAATCTCTGGTGCCTTGTAGACTGGGCATGGAGGACTTTGTGGTGCATCAATTGTTAATGTTACAACTATGGGGCCATTATAAGTTTTATTTAAACTTCTCTTGGTTCAACATTTAATAGGAGTAATACAGTCTTATGAAAACAGCACAAGGAAAAGAAGAATATTTCTCATTCCAATACTTTTAGTAGCTTCCCTGGCAGTTGGAGCTAGGGGTAGTGTTTAATCTTAACCCTTTGCTGGATGTTGAGAGTTTCAGTGACAAACGTTGAATTTTCTGTACATGGGGTAGGGATGGGGGTGGGGTGAGGGGTCAAGTGGAGGTGTTACATACACTTTTCCAGTATTTAAAAAAAATAAAAAAGACGGGGGTGAGGGGAACCCTTAGTAAAAAGACACTTTATTGCCGGGACTGTCAAACTCTACAGATTTAAAATACATTAGCCCTTGCAGATGTAAATTCCCTAACCCAGTGTAAGGGTATGTCTACACTACAGCATTATTTCGAAATATCTTATTTCAAAATAGTAATTTCGAAATAGCTTATTTAGAAATATCGTGTCTACACATAAAATGCATTTTGAAATAGCTTTTTGCTATTTCAAAATAGCTCGTCCACACTGAGTAGTGCTAGGGTTGGGGGTGGGTGCAGGGCTATGGGAATGGGACCTGTGGGGGCTTTCTTCCCCACCGCCAGTCCAGTGGGGTGGAGGTGTTTGGGTAGAGAGGGCACTTAACCTAGGAAGGTGATAGGCAAGATGGCAAACCCCATCCCCAGCTGGCCACTCCCTTGGTGGTGCAGCTGCCCCAGTGGTCACTCTGCAGTACAGCTCTCCCCTGTGCTTCTTGCCATTAGTGGTGACTGTCAATATCACATCCCTCGGGTCAGCCCTTCTCTTTCCATGTTATTAAAAACAATCATATTCCAGGCACATCCTGTTTCCCTGGCACAATCAGCCTCTGACCTTGCTTTAAGTTAGGACAAGAGGAAGCCAGATGTCAAATTTAGTGGTCCTAATTCTAACTGTTTAGAAGTTCTTGAACAAAGGACTCATACACAGACAGACAAGCAAATAGATGGATTCAGAGACAGACAGATGCATAAACCTCACAAATATATAGAGACTAAATAGCTACTATTTTAAAAAATGAGGAAAAATGGGAAAGGTAAAAGGAACACATGTAACCCCCTCTGAGGGCACAATGACACCATAAACAGCTATCTCAGGAATGTGAGGGACATTCACGGTCTATCCCTCACACATTCCAGGCCCCTACCAAGAGCCTGTGCTGACGGGATGCTGCATGTCGGACCCTTGTTCTGGCAGTGGCCATATACCCATCCCCCCATCCTCCACCCCTCCATTAAGGTTACGATTCCCCTCCAAGTCTGGCCTGGGAGGTCTCTGGGCTGGTGGTGTCTCCCTGCACTGGGCTTCTGCCAAGGGTCCCCTTTGTTCTCTCCAGCTGCTCACTGCACCCAGCTCCAGGCTACTTCCTGCCTCTTCCTGGGCTGCCTCTCTGGTTCTCTCTGGCTCTGGCTCTGGCTCTGGCTCTGGCTCTGGCTCTGGCTCTGGCTCTGGCTCTGGCTGGCCAAGTTCTGCTCCCAGCTCAGCTCCTACTTTCCCCTTAGCTCTGTCCCAGGTAGCATCGTCTCTCAAGAAGGACAGGACTTCCTGATCCTCTCATTGGCTGGCCTGCCCTGTCAATCAGGTTGGCCTCGAGCAATGAACTCTCCCCATTGCTCCTAGGGACTGTCACCTCAGGGCCCTGAATTTTCATCAGCCCTGGACCTCTGTTTTAGTAGCAGAAATGGCAAACCAAAAACAATCTGGATTTTTAGCAAGGGTCCAAGCAATCCCCTTACACTGATAATACAAGTGCTCTGCCTTGTACCACACCCCTGGCAAGTGCACAGCACAGACTCCCTCTCATCTGAACCTCGCCAGGAGGAGGGAGCTGCACACACACAAAGAGGTACCAGAGCAACAGATCCTTCAGTGCCCCTTTCCGTAAAACTGTGCCTGTCTCTCAGCTGGAGCTGCACAATTTCAGTGGGAATGAAGAGAGGTTTCTGAAGGTTGGAGAGGTGGGTTGGTCTTTCTGTGGACCTTACAGCAATGTCCGTTCTTGTGTCTGAGACCCATCTGCCTTGGATTTAGGTGCAGGGCCAGTCCACAGGGCCAAACCCAGCATCCCTTGCTCCAGCAATCAATCACTGACTATAGAGGCACTTTGCTTTATAGTGAGTAAGAACAGAATGAAGGATTTTGGGTTGGGCTCGTTCAGAATTATCCCACAAATAACCAGCCACCCTGTGCACTAAATCTCACCTAGAGCAAACTCACAAGGATTCGTGATGTTTCTGCCACTAGTGATTCTGAGGGATGTTGTCCTGACAGAACACAAGAAAAGTTTCCAAAAAAGTAGCAGCTCTCTTCTGGTGTGA